AAATCACATAAGAAGGGGTTTCGCGACCGAAAGATCATTGGTTTGATATAATGCTAATTGTTTTGATGACTATTGTATTATTGATTATAAGTATTTCCTAATAAATGGTTACTTATTTTGATAACAGAGTACGAAAATCGTGTCCGTTTGTACAGTAACCCTGATAAGATATTTCGATATTTTGCATCTTTGAAGATCATATATGACTCAAACGAAAGCCAGATCTTCATGACACCGGATGATGTACTGTCTATTTTGAGACACATTTATGTGTAATAATTGATCTCATTTTAGTTCCTGCGAGCGCTCACACCGGGGGTCAAACAGCCGGACGGTCTCGGGTTAGACCACTTCAGGCGCATTGACTTATCAAAGGTTTTGATTTATTGCAATATTATTGACAATTGAAACCAAAAACACAAACACTTCTAAACTATAGTTAGTCTAAAACCTATAGAATTTAATAGAGGAATATGTGTTAGAATTATACAGAAATTAATACATAAAATATGAAATAAATAATGATTGTGACATTTATTTTCCACTATATCCACACAAATACTGTTATGTATTGTAATAATCAATGTTTGGTATCACAGGAAGAGGACACAGATCCTATGCTTTCAGGCGTGTTGCTAATTGTGAGCATATTATCCGCTTTTTACATACGATTCGTGTTACTGTTATTAGTTTGTACCGTACAATCGGTTATTAGATTTGCATTTGTGTTGTTTTCGTTGCAAAAACTGAGCGAAAATATTAAATTATTTAACGCTTGGAATGCTTTTGGTGTGAAATCCTTCCCAAACCATTAGTTTTTTGGATCACACTTTATATTGTGTTTGCCTTTTAACTCATTTCTAATTTTACACAAACCTATGCTTTTTAGTTGAGTTTCTTTATTTAATTAGTTTTATATCCCATATTTTAGTTCCCTTTTGATCCATTAGTATTGTTTTTGTTTTTTAGTTTTTTGGTTTTATTATCGATTATTTTATTTTATTACTTTTTGCCTCAAATTGTTTCACATAAGAATTTTTCACATTAGGGGAGCAAAGAATTGGCTTATAATTTGAAGCCAGAGTCCATGTTTTACAAACTCAGTAATTATGGATTAATAAATTTCTCAGATTTCCTATTCCTGTTAACCGTCATATCGGGTCAGTTTATAGCCATTCAATGAATATACAGTGTGTTCTAATAGTGACATTAATTATAAGTATATATCCCGGGTTAGTTTCGCGCCGGCACTTTGAGATAGCCTTCCGTATGTTCGACCTGAACGGTGACGGGAATGTGGAGTACGATGAGTTTGAAAAGGTACAAAACGCTATACTCTCGCAAACTAGTATTGGCAAAAAGTTGGGCACTAATCGAAACGGATACAAAGGTAATTACAGTATTTATTGATATAAGGGTGGGTTAGCACTACTCCTATTGTCTTTAACATTAAAATTCAAACTATTTATCAATTTTTGTTGACAAACAATCACTTGAATTGCATTTTCATATCTAATGCAATGATGTGAGGCATAGGTAGCGAAGGGTTGCGGTTATAAGTTGAGAATTTTAATGGCTTTTTGTTTAAAATAATTGTGAATTCCTGCGAAAGATTTTCTTTGGAAACTCATTCATACAGTGAGTCTCCACACGAAATTCCTGTCCTTATTGTTTGAAAGCATAATATATTACATGAAATAAAAATTTTTATTAAACAATTTCAATACGACTGTGCGATTAGGTGTGAGCTCAGCACTCGCTAAATACTTTTTCGGTGAAGATCTCAAACAAAAACTAACGATTGAAAAGTTTCTCGACTTTCAACAACAATTACAAACAGAACTCTTGACTCTTGAGGTACTCCATAGAAAAAGTTTTATTCAATTTCTCTAATCATTATCTGATTGTATAGTTTGAGCGCAAAAAGCCGAACCCAATAACCGGTAAAATAAAAGAATCAGAATTTGCGGAACTGCTGATAGGTATACCCCTATACCCCATACAATGATAGAACTGTTGATATACAACGTTCTCTGTATAGCATACGCTGGACTGACTGAGAAGCGGAAAAATAAAATGTTAAAAAGAGTTAAGAAAAGGTTTGGCAGAGACGAGGACGGCCTCGAAGAAGAGGGCATCACTTTGGAGGACTACCTCAGTCTCTATAATTTCCTACAAAATATCAACGATGTAGACATGGCTCTTAGCATTTTCAACATTGCCGGCGCTTCCATAGACCAATGTTTGTGTATTCAATTCTTATAGACATTTCATATTAAATGATAAGATTCTCTATGAAATTAATTGATGTATTGGTTGACAGCGACTCTCAAACATGTGGCCAAAACCGTAGCACACGTTCAACTAAGAGATCATTTGGTATTTAATTATTAAATTGCTTTAAATTACAAAAAACGTAAAAACAATAAAAACCCGTTTATTTAATACCAGGTTGAAGTCTTATTCACAATATTCGATGAAAATCGTGAGTTAATTGCATTTGAGTGTATTTTTGTGGAAAATGTGTCAAAAATAACATAATATTGTTTGCGATGCAGAGGACGGGCAGTTAAGTAACAGAGAATTCATAGCAGTAATGAAGGAAAGGCTACGGAGAGGCCTAACCAGACAGAAAGACACTGGTTTTGTGAAGCTACTTCACGCTCTATGGAATTCACTTAAATTTGATTTATAAAACACTCGATTGATTCACTAATTTAATGATTACATACAATAAAAGACAATTAAAACAATTTATTTAGTGTTGTTGAAAATGAGCCCAAAATCTAATAAATGCTTGACTACATTGACTACAGTTTGCCATTGAATAGCATTTCATCCAAAACTGTGTTGTGTTTTGTTTCCCGGAATAGAAGACGAGACGTAACCCAATGACAGAAATGAAAGACAAGTTTTATAAGTTTTGTTGTTTTTAGAGGTCATTAACATCGAGACATCGAAATAACAACTTTGACTAATGATAAGAACATCTAAAACATAACTTAAACACAAATAAAAGCAAGTTTCAGTTGTAGTTAAGTCGAAGGTATGCCTCACTTATAGCCGACTCTTCATCTGACCTTTTGTTTAGGTCTACCAATCACTCGATTCTAGATCTCGTACTCCAATAAGTTTTTTAAAAGAAGTCCTTCCGTTGCACAACACTCTGTCTCTAACTATCATTCAATATGTTTGTCGATAAAACTTATTATTTCATAAACACTTCTCTCGTTTTGATTGCATTTTTCATTTCATTTACTTTTAGTGTTGAATACGAAAATAAAACCGATTTCTATAGCAATCATCAAAATAATTATACATTAATTCACAGCTTTTTTAAAGATCTAATTAGTGATGAGTTTAATGTGAATGATAAAAATGCCAATAAAACAATTGGTCCGACAAATCAGACTTTAAGTGATCTCTCATTAAATAAAACTTTCAATTCTAATGAGACGAATGCATCGATTATTTTGAACCAATTGTTACGAGAGATCTCTGAGAAGCAATCAAATGTGAGCGCAAGTGAATCGCGAACATTGAGTTCGTGGTTAGGCTTAGACTTGAATCGATTCCGAAGACCGCAATTCAAGTTAAAGCCATTCTTCTCTCCACCACAACCTCCACCGCAACCGCAGAATATTCATCCATATGTAGCACCACCGCCGCCACAAGTGTTGCCACCACTGCTGAGCCCTCCCAACAGCTTCCCGGGTCCTCACGACCCCGAGTCTCTATTCCTTCCGCAGAATATGTTCGAAGAAAGTGGTATAAAATATTGGCTCAAATTCATTGAAAATGCCGGAAATGATGATAACATTCATTCGGATGAATACAACGGGAGGCCAACGATGACCCACGACGACAGCCGTATGAGAAGACCCACCAAATATTCTTCTCGACCAAAGCCTATAGATATCGGCGACAAACCAAACAGTGATGACGATAATGATGATAATGAGAGTGAGGATGAAAGTGAGGACAATAATGAGAATGAAGACGATATGGAAGAGCCCACCGATGAGCCCAAGTCTTCTGGTAGTTCTCACAGCAAACAGAAGTACGACACGACTCCCAGATGTGATAAATTTACATCTGATATATGTGTCGATGACTTTGAATACCCGGAACAGGCGATTGTGGACGAGATCTACAAAAGGCGAGACATCTTTGAGTTGATGTACTCTGAAGTGAGTGGTAACGTTCCGCTCGTCGATGGAATTCCTCGCGATGTGGAGGAGTCCTATAATTACGACTACTATTACAACGACAACAAAGACCCGCAGGCGTCGGGCTCTGGGTTTGGAGACGAAGAGAAGCAGTTGTCGCCCGGAAAAGGGTCGAGTGTTTGTCCGACGGAAGGTGAGCCCAAACCAAAAACTGGAGATTAAGTTATTTATGAAATTTGCATGAAATTAAAAATAGCAAATTTCTTATTGATTTTAATTGATTTTTAATTTTTCTTTTAATTAATTTTTTATTTTGCTTTTAATTTATAATTTATTTTTCATTTTTCCGGTCAGTGCTCTATGGAAAGCCTAAACTCGCCAAAAACAAGAGGGGCGACTGGAAAGTGATTGTAAATGCGGCCGAATTCACGCAAACTGTTCGCATGGAAAAGTGCATTAAACCTAACAGTAAATGCAATTACATTTCATACCCAGATTTTAGCTCCCGGTGCGCACAAGTCCACTCATTTCATAGACTATTAGTGTTTGAAAAGGGGAAAGGCTTTTATATCGACACCTTCCGAATGCCGACGGCCTGTACGTGTCACGTGACTCGGAGGGTGTCCTACAAACCACTGCCGAGTGCCTCGCAGTCAACCAATTTTAATAAGAAACAAAAACCTTCGCCCCCTCTCAGCAACACATTATGGTCTATATTAGGCGGTCCGCTGCCCAACGACCCGTCCGGCACTTTAAGCCAATCTCAGGAATTATTGCGAAATCAAATCAATTTATTGAATCAAATGAAGCATTTGCCACAATTGGCACACATTTCACCCGACAATGTCTTCCAGCAACTCATGGATCTGCAGTCACCATCAGATGGCCTGTCAGACCCTCACAACCATCAAAGTCATCCGTCTTACCAAAGACCTCAAAAGCCGAGTCCAATGCAATTCGGACAAAGCGGTGCCATTGACTATATTCTGCCCGCCATTATGTCCAATGAGGACCAGACAAATACCGACCGTTTTTCCGGTTCTGACCGCAAATCTCAATCACAAATGCCCCGACCGTTGGCACAGATACACCAGAGCTCTGGCACCACAACATTACTCAATCCCAACGTGAATGGAGCGCCAGTAGTTCAGGTGATCCACGTACCCGTTACGTCCGCGATGGCGCAAAATCAAGACCCGGCGCCCGTATATAAAGGCAAACACCACAACAACCCAACCTTTTCTGACTACAGTTATATCGACACGAGTTCTCTCTTCTATAAACCCAAACAAAATTCCGAAGAGTTTTTGCAGACATTTGGCGACGACTTATCCGATATAAATGTCGATCACTTCAAGCCATTGATGTTAGGCATGTCGTCGAAAACCAACTCAAGCCTAATATCTCCCAACTCTGGCAGAGATACCGTTAAAAGGGAATCCGATTATCCAAACAGCGATTCCGATGAAATGAATAAAAAACGAAAATTAATGGTTGAAAACACTCTGAATAAGAAAATTAATTTCTCATATCATCCTATTTTAGAGTATATTAGCCGTTAGTCTTGACTTTTGTTCCCATTTTATTGTTCGTCTCATAAGTTATTAATAAAATATATCAATAGTTTATATTAACTTTTTTATGGTTTATTATTATTTATAAATCACAAAACATTTGGAAAAAACACACAACTGTTCACAATAAAACTCACTATTAATGTAATTGAGTTTGAATTGAGTCCTATCTTTCACGCACTGATTACTCCATTAGAAATGAATCGAAACCTCCAAAGAGTTGAACGAATGTCAACACAAAAGTCACTTCTATTGTAGGAATAATTGAATGGCAATTGATTTCGATTCAGACCTGATGTCAATGTTTGCTTTGTATGGTTTGAGTGTCGATTGAGTGTTAAGAGAATGACATCTTATAATGCTTTCGATGAGATATCCATGTTTTCGCTACTTTTGTTTTGTATCTCTATGTATGGTATCTCTGGTGAGAACAGAATCGCAGACATCGATGTGTTGGACAACTATTTCGACGACGCGACCAAATTCATGAATAATCGGCCAATTTTTGATGGCATCGCTCTCGTGCTGCCCAACAAACCTCCGTCTCATAGCCATCTGATCCCAGTCTCTCATATGGAGAGACCCGCATATCAGCCAAGATTTCACTCAAAAATTATTTCGCAAAATGAAGATAAGCTCAAGAATTATCCGAAAAGTAAGTTTAAGTCAGAACCTAATGAACGACATCCAAAGAACCGCATGAGAAGTCATCAAAAGAATAGTAGGCATCGAAATAACCGACTCAACAATTATCCCAAAAGTATTAACGATCGGTTGAGACAATACGAGTTAGAAGATGATGAAGCAAGTGATGGACAAATGGATGACTACTTAATTAATAAACCAAAAAGTGTTCCTAAAAATAATAACAATTATAAGCCATTCTCGTGGCATCAAAAAGTTCAGACTAAAGAAGTTGAGAACAGAGATCGTAAAAAATATTCACAAAACTTTGCGAAGACTCCACGGCCTCATCCAACCCGTAACCGTCCGGACAATGATTTTCCACAAATGGAAACAACGGAATCTCCTAAAAGGCCGATCACTCTATTCGATGCAATGCCTCCGCATTCGTTGGGAAATGAGTTGGATTTACTGAAACACGTCAAGCAGTCCAACAAAATGAAGAGTATGTCCAATGATTTTGCGAACCAAGGCTTTGATCACATGGAGTGGGAAAAGCCTCAAAAATACAGAACAGCCACTGCTAACCAACTTTCCCATAAGAAAGAGGACAGACGACCAAATGAGCGCCAGAAGCACACCAATCATCCAAACCAACCCAATCATCACAACCACAATCAACCCAATCAACCCAAACATCACAATAGTCCCAATGAACCTAATCATCAAGATCAACCAGATAAATCCAATCACCCCACTCAACCCAATCAACAGGAAATGTATTCTGGAGAACAGGAAAGACATCCTATAGAAGAAGATAAAAATGATGGGCGAAAACCTATGAGCGATGAGAAGAGTGAGTACAACACCAATAAACATAAAGGTATTGAAGGCGAAGATCTCGACTCGAATGACGACCCAAACCATTACCCCCATCAGTACGCCATTGAAATTCGGTGGAAAAACAACGGTATGTTGGATGGACCGGAAGGGGATGTCGGCGAACGAGAAATGCATTCGAGTAAAGACTACGAGGACGCCAAATACCGGCTCTACAAACACGAAGAGGAGGAACACTGGCACGAGAAGAAGTGGCTCAATGAGGGCCTTAAGAAAGCCTACGCCAATGGACGACACCTACCCGTCCACATACATAGACCGCGGCTTAAGCTTCACAACGACCACTACAACCCATTGCCAATTTACGCGCAGGCCTTACCTGACGGGGCGACTATCGCCCAAATTAATGAGCATTTCGGAGTGCCGACCCCCAACTTCCGGGTCGGACACAGATTCATGCAGTGGGCGAAGAGAGGCATTGATTTCGGTCGTCCACAGACCGGCATAATTGCTGTCCTGGGATAACTACACTTTAGTCTGCAAATTAAGTTATAATACCTGTGCCATCAGTTTATTCTCTGCTAATAAAGTTAATAATATGCGAAATAACTTTTAAATGTTTTTCAGAGAAAAAATATTGAATAAAAGTTATTATAAATCAATGTCCGATTTAAACCCTCAAAATTACTGTTATTATTAAACAAGCGAATTAAGTGCATAAAAGTCTATTTATAAACGTAAAAACAAGTCTAAAAAAGTATAGCTCGAGTTCAATTTGGATCAAACTCACAGCAATTTCTCATTGAAAAAATAAAGCCAATACACTGTACTTGTAATAAATGAATACACTTTCCATTTGGATTATAGGAATAAAGAACTATTTATATTAAACTTTTAATAGCAATATATTTTAACTACAATATCAAATACTGTATAACAATAAAATTAAAATTATTATCTCTATATAATATTACTCAAAAATAATTAGCCTATTTTTGCTCACTAGTTATTAATATTTTAAACATTAGATTAAAATGATATTTATTTTGATAATTCTACATGACAAATATAATTATTAATTGTGCTAACATTATATGAGATATCACTCATAGTCTTATATCGATATAATTTACTATAAAATAGGCAAAAATGAGGTGCAATATCGTATGTAATTCATAGGATTATGTTATTGATAAAGATTGAACTAACTTGTAAGTGTTTGAATATACCATATTTTTATTTGTTTTTATTAAAATAGTAATTTGTTATTGGTAATAGTTTCATTTGATGGAAATCATAAATTGGTTGAGTGATTAGATTTTAATCTACAATAAAACTTATAAAATTCAACAAATAGTTTAAAACTTTAAAGTTACAACAAATCAGAAAACATTAGTCACTCATTATAATGAAGTAATGTGCGGTTTGTGGACCAGTCTTGCACTGACATTCACTCCCTGGTCAATCAACAGGTCATGAGTCGAGTCGACTTTTAAGACCACTATCTTGTGTACCACTTCTGTCCATCTCTCCCTCTCCCACTCTATGGACAGATAAACACAAAAATATAATCATTAAAAATTTTATTAACATTTTAGACAAATTAATATGTAATCAAAAGACTCTCTTATACTTAACAATTCTAATAATAATTTACATTAATAGATAGGGTTTAATTGGTAATAAAAACAATTGACAGTTAATTAAATAACAAAAATACAAAATTAATTACAAATCGCAAGAATTCTTAAGTCGTTTATAACTATTAACTAATCCATTGAACGGACACTGAAAGGACTCGAGTTCGGGAAGTGGTGTACTATGGAAACGGATTCGTATGAATACCACCACTTGTTCCGCAAAGTTGGACACAATCCTGCCATCCATTGGAGACAACATTATAAAGTCCGAGACATTCTTCCAGTTCTTGTTGTCATCGTTTTTGAGGTTCGGATGGATAGTAGGATTGGTAGAGATTTGCACAGAAAATAGTGATGAAATATCGCGATAATGGTTGAAGTGGTTATAGTTTTTCAATTTAAATGCCAGCGAATTGACTGCGAAGGGTTGGCATAATTGTATATAAATAGACCGGTCATCTATGTAGCAAACGCTTCCCCGCTCGAAGGGCACCACCAATTGTTTGACAAGTTTGCCATCAATTGTCTCACTCGTCTCATACTTCTGATTCACTGCCAATACTTTTCGTTCGTATGATTTGAATGGTTTGCATTCATTACTGAAGACATTGTGTTTGGGTTTGACGACTAGATTGTTGTCCATTTCAATTGGAAAGGTAGAGTACATGACCTCGAAGTGCAAGACATCAAATGATGAAAAGGGGATATTTCGCTGACAATCCATTGATTTCGTGCCATTGATTCGCACGTATCTGACGGACTGACACTCAAAGAACAGGAACTGATAAGAGCGGCACAAGTAGTTGCTGTGATCGATGACTGTCTTCCATGTCTTTCGATCGATTGAGACATCAATTGAATAACTATAGGACCGCAGGTCGAAGTCCATGAGAACTAAGACCATGTGATTAATGATGAATATCCGCGAGAGATCAACCAATATGATGGAGTCTCCGGGTGTGGCGCCCATGCTATGCGATGTGCAGGCCTTCTGAGTGTACCACCGATTAGAATCGTTGATCATTTTGTTTCTTCGTCTGCCTTTCAGCACTTTGGCGTTCATGGCAGGTGTGGCCACGTTTTGGTTCAGCAAAAGACATCCACGATGTTTGCGCTCATATTTCTTCACTCTTTTCAATTGTTTTTCATAAAAAGTTTGCATAAAATCCAAGTCTATATCACAGGAGCGGACGATTTCCTTATACTCCATGGGATGTATACTCCAGAAGCGAATCGACGACAAGATATTATTCATTTCATCATTTCTATAGTATAGTAACAAAAGAAACTCGGTTTTTGTCTGTGAAAACTCTTATAAACGGAGTAAACAGTGTATTTTACTTAGGGAAGAATTGTAACTGTGGTTAACACTCGAGTCTTCCGTAACTTTGGACTTATGGCTCAGTATTTGGTCGGCGTTTTGATCGATGAACAGATTCGTGGCTCTAATCAGTTCGGGAATTGAGTACAGATTTGCGGCCTTTTGTACGACAAACACATTATCCATCGACAAAGACATCTTCAGGTGATTGACGATGTCGTGGAACAGCTCGTGAAGAAACAAGTATTGCGAAAGACTGAGGATTTCGATGACTAATTCGATGGACAAATGGGTGAGCGTTAAAGTGGAGGAATAGATAAACTGGAGGACATGTCGGAATGGCTCGACGCGGATGTTCATTAAGTCCACTTCATTCTCATGTGACAGCGATTCCCGCATTTGACCGAAAAACAGAGCCCTGAAGACAACACTTCTGACCGAAAGCACACTTCTGTTGACCGGAAACTTTTGGCCCTCGACTCGGAGCACGCAATCGCTGTACTCTTCACTCATAAACATTGTCGTGATATCCGTCTCGTGGCGTATAATCTTTGAGTTCATTA